GTTTTTTCTTTTATTATCTATTTATTTGGTACAGGGGCTGCTATGCAGCTTGGACTTGTAGTGATCCTCCTGTCTCAGCCTCTCCAGCGCTGGGATTACAGGTAAGTGCCATCATGCCATTTTGGTTGCCTGAACGGCATGCCCAGGGTTCCAGCACCAGGAATCAAACCCAGGTCCTTCTGCTTGCAGGGCTTACACCACCAAGCAATCTCCCTAGCCCCTTGTTTTTCTTTTCTATAGCTGAGTAACACACCATTATATAAAAAATGCCTCATCTTTTTTATACTCTCCTCAATTGATGGGCATTTGAGTTGTTTCCACGATTTAACAATGACAAATGGGGAGATTAATGACAATGTATCTTTTACTATAATAGGTTTTTGGTTTTTTTTAATTTGAACACACACCATAGTTTGGGGTCATAATACAGACGAGTTTCCCAAAACTGCCATAATAAATTGCATATAAACTGGGTGTCTTAAAACACTAGAGATGTATGCTGTCATGTTTCTGGTGAGCAGCAGTCTATAATCAAAGTGTCTAGAAGGCAACATTGCCTCTGGGGTCTCTAGAGAAGAACTCAGTCTTGTTCTCATCTAGCTTTTAGTTGTTGTCAACATTTCCTGATTTGTGGGCACATTGTCTCCATAGGGACATTACTTTCTTTTCTTCTGACTACATTGTCTCCTTCTGACTTTTATTTTTTTAATTTTTCTTTTTAAAGAATACAAAATAGTATAAAAAATAGAAAAGAAAGAAAGAAAAACAGCATTATAAACAATACAAAATTTCATTAAACAGAATGATAGGAATTCTGTTTTTTAATCAATTTTGCGGGTTTATATTTGGTAACCTAAGCAATTAATTTGAAGATAATATCATGCAATATAGCAATCATTATTGAATTGCTTTTTCTTTGTAAGAACATTTGTGGCCACATATAGGGTCCCCATCCAGATAAATCCAGACAGACTCAGCCCAACATCCTTAAAGTAATCACATCTTTCACCATCTAAGGTAATATTCATTTTTTGTCCATATATGATTGCCATAGCATTCCCTAACCGCTACTTACCTTTGACAACAAACAATATAGAAATTCAATACATTCAGATAACTATAAGAAAAATGAGGGGAAAACCAGGGAGGATAAGCGAGTGATGGAGATGTTATTTTCATTAAAGAGGCAAGAGGTTACACTTTAGAATAGAAGAGTAATAGGGTATTGGCAGAATTTGAATTTGATTCTTAGTAAAAATGAAAACCATTGGTAACTTAGAGATAAAGAATTTCTAATTGAACTGACTTCTATTACTAGGGCTGATGTGTGGGGAAGAAATGATAGAAAGAGGGCACTGAGGTAGTATGGACCATTTAGCAAGCTGTCTCAGTATTCTAGGTAAAAGCTAACTGTACCTATGACTAGGTAGTGGTCATAGAAGTATTAAGAAATAATTTCACTTGAGATATATTTTGAAGTTTGAGCCCACAGGATTTGTTGATGATGTGACTGCACGGGAGAGTAGTAGAGGATTCAAGGAAGAATCTAAGAGCTTTTTATAATGTGAATAAAAGGATAGGCATCACAGGCAACTGAGATTTGGAAGGTGAAGAGAAGCAGAATAAGGAATCAAGAGTTCCATTTTGAAATATGAAATGCCTTTTAAGTATCCAAGTGAAAATAGTCTAAAGACAGCTGGACACAGAAGTCGACAGAGGAAGTCAGAACACATACACCTATGTGTCAATGGTGAATGTCTGGTGTTTAAAATCACCAGGAAGTAAGTGTAGCTAAAGGGTCAAAAGTGAGCCCTGGAGTATTACAAAATGAAGAAACCAGGAGATTTGGACAAACCAGGAAAAAAGCATATGGAGAGAGCCAGTGCAGAATTGAAACTATAAAAATCTACCAACTTGGAAACATAAATTAAAAGGTGATCTGCAAAGGAAGTAATCAGCTCTATCCAAAGCCGCTGGGGGGGGGGGGGAACCAAAGCTGCTGATAGATCAAATAAGATTGAGATGTGGGGGAATCATTAGGGGTCTTGATAAGATCAATTGTGAACATAAATTGCACTTGGCATAAGTTCAGAAGAGTAAGAAAAATGAAATGTTGACAATTGATTTGGACAATTATTGCAATGAACTTTAACTACTAAGGAAATTAAACTACTGGACACACTATAACATAGTACTATGTACCATGCTGAGAAAATGTTTCTATTGAGAGGCAAAAATTGATACTACAGGCAAATAAATGAGTACACAAGCAAAGTCAATGAGTGGGTGAGAAGGGGCAGAATCCAGGACCTGAAAGGCTGACCAGCCTTGAATGGGAGTAGGGAAGGCCTCCTTAAAGCAGAAAAGGACTCACAATATATAGGTGCAGATGCAGATCTGCTAATGAGATGATTAGCATGCTTTCTGGTGGCCCTTGCAATTAGAAGTGCAGTCATCAGCTGAGACTGGAAAGGTTAGATAAGAGAATGGAAGGGTTGAGAAGGCAAAGAATATCAGGCAGAGAGTGAAATGTCAAGGACAGCAGTAAATCATCTAATGAATTTTCTAGAACAGCACTGTTTCATTGAAATATATTGTGTCCTACATATGAAATATAAAATTTTCTAATAAGCACAGAGAAAGTAAAAGGAACTCAGGTACCATTAATTTTAATGACATTTTATTTAACCCAACATATTACAAAGTATTTCCCCCATGTGTAAGCTGTATTAAAAATATTTAGCTATTTTAAGTTTTTTTCTTTTACTACTAAATTTTCAAAAGCCAGTGTGCATTTTACATTTTAAGCACATCTCAGTTTGTACAAGGTACATTTCAAATGCCTAATAGTCACATGTGGCCAGTGGTTACCATATTGCACATGCCAAGTCTAGGAAATAAAGTAGGGCTAATGAGGAACACTGAGCATCCCTCACAAAGGGGTAGAGGGAATTGGTGGCACGTGCAATGAAATGATTGTACAGATTGACTCTAGAACATAATGCACAAAATTAAAGTGGGGTGAGGAGATACAAAATGATGGGAGGGCCAATGGACTCTTTCAGTAAAATCAAAGAACTTTAGAGCTGTAGATGCTATGCACCATATGAAGAGGCCTGGAAAAATTCTTCTCTTCACAAACTGATGTTCTTTGGCAGACACACCAATAGCAGAGCTGTGAAGATGGTGCATAACAAATGCCAGAGGCAGTCGCTCAAAATGTGATCTATGCAAGTTAAGATGAGGAAAAGCTCACCTCCAAGTAGAATAGCCCAGAAGGGCTTATTCAAGGTGGCAGGTAAATCTGATCTTGAAGAATGAAGGGAATTTTAATCATGTGCGGGAGGCATGGTTTAAAGTTAACTGAAAGTATAAGCAATGATAGAAAAGCCAAAATGCTCACTGTCTTGGGGCAAGAATTAAAAAAGGCTTAAGATGGGTAGAAATAGCAACTACAATGGGGAAGGCAGGCTCTGAATAGTGATAAGTCCTTAAAGGAGACCACTAGGATAAGTGGGGGAAAAGCCTCCTCAAAAACTAAAGTCATATCCCACCTTCAATAAAATGTCTACTAGAACTGATAAAACATATTTACCAAAGAGTGTTCCCAAGAAATAAATGTCTTCCTTTCTGCCCTCCAAGGCACACTATCACACAAGTTTAAGAAAACCTTCCAACTTTCCTTCAAAATCTAGATTCATGTTTCTTGCATTCTTTTCTGTGGAAATAGTTACATTGAAAGAGAAAACATTTCACTCTCACGTCCTGGAAGAAAACATTTGGAACCAACTAGGATTGCAATAGGTGGGATTAAGAAGAGTTTAATTTCTATCAGCAGGCTGGAGAGATAGCTTAGCAGCATAAGAATCTGCCTGGCAAGTGCAGAGTCTTGAATTTGATCCCCAGTACAATAAAAAAATAAATAAATTTTAAAAAATAATAATCACTATCAGTACTTTTTTTTAAGATAGAGGATGGACTCTCACCACATAGACCAGTATAATGCTCTTAGGAAACAAACTGAACTCATACACTGTAAAACTCTTTTTCTAATCCAGGTGCTATTTCTACTTAACTTCTAAGAGAGAATAAGCACTTGACCTTATTTTGCTTCTCATACAGTCATCATTGGACAAGAGGAAGCCTAAGTTTTTCTAAATATGTACAGACTGCTTTGCTTTAAAAAAAAAAAAAGTCACTCTCATTTTCTTTTTCCAACTATCAGTGTCTAAATGGTCAGGGAAACTTGCCAGTAGGTCCACTCTCCTTTTTTCACAAGAATGTCCAGCTTCAACCAGAATAGTTAGAAAACAATAAGAAGACCTGGATGTTTTCAGATTTTAATAATACTGTGCTTTGTATTTACAAGTCATATAGCCTTGTATTTCAGAGTTCATCATTTTAAGTTTACATATTAGTGTATGAAAGCACAACGTTTAATACCAAAGCTTCCTTCCTAACAGTAAGTTACTAATGTCAGGATTTGAAGTCGTATTTACTGTGCTGACTCATGTGGTCCTACATCTAAAACTCATTCTCATAACCAAAATTGAAGTGCCCAGAAAGTAGAACAGGCCCTATTTATTGAATCAAGTGTCCTATTTATTTAAGAGAATTTTAAGATCCATAGATCTTGATATAAATAACCCTAAAACTTATAGTATACATTAATATGAATATAGATTAAGGCATCATTCAGTGAAAACTAATACATTAATGAATAAATGTATATACACATAATCCAATCAGTTCCGCAAAATAAAATATATTTCAATTGAAGAGACAGCAAGTAGGTCAACATACTTAAATGTAAACTACAGCATTAAAAATTTTTCACTAACATGCCATAATTGTGAAGGCTACAGGTACCACTGATCAGACTGCTACAAGTCTCCTGGTTTGGTCATAAAAATGTCCTTTGTCTGCTGATGTCGTTAGGAAGGTAAGGAATCAAGTTCTCTTAATACTAGCCATGGCTTATATCCCGATGTTTTTAACTCTCATGTGTCTGGGAGATTCTGTAAGATCTGTCTCAAGGAAGCGCAGGCAACCATGTGAGCATCAGAAGGAAGATTAGCAAGTGACTGAATCAGCTTCTTGACTATTGTCTTCAAACACTGGTGGGCAGCATTCAAATCTCTGTCAAACTGCTGTCCTTCGATCTGTAGAGCCAAATGACTGCAGATGTTTCTAAATTCAACACTGTCCTGAAATGAACAGTAAATACAAATAGGAAATTAGATGATAGTAACATTGCAGTGCTTTGTTTACCCAGCTTCCAGAGATTTCTAAAAGAACCAGCTTTTTCCATCCGTAGCCTATATAGTTTGACCAAAGCTGACCCTAGCCACCCCTCTTGTAACCAGTCCATTGATTAGATCACCCCCGCCCCAGCCATGTGGACTTCCAGGAATAGAGAGCTGACTCAAGCTAAAGACCAGTCCCACATGTGCTAGGCTAGGAAAGAGAAGCCCTCGTTTACTACAGATGTTAGAAAACACCATACTCAAAGTGTCCAATGAGGATGGAGCCAGCAGAGAACAAAGTAGAGCCAAGTGGTTACAAGAGACTGACTCTAAATACCTTTCTTGAGCATGTGAACAATATAACCCAGGATTTTTCAGTTGATTTAATAAATATCCCTTTTTGCTTGAGCCAATTAGAATTGAGAGTCTATTACTTGTTTTAAAAGAGTTGCTATCAATGCATAAATGGCTTCTGTTCCTATCATTCCATATGTACTGTGTTCAAGATTCCAATACAAAATTCATTTTTAGTAAATATTGTTTCAAGAAGTGTCAAATGTAAATTTAGAAAGAATAGTTCCTGGGTGATTTAAAAGAATGAAATAATTTAACAGGTTTTGAAAATCTCCAAATGGTTCACATCCTGAAACCCACTGCAAATAAATAGTAGACTAAAAATTTTCCATATTAGGTAAAATGTTGAATATATGATCTCTTTTAAACACAGGGAAATAAGCTTCCCCAGATTTATGCTTTGGGGAACACAGCACATTTACTTTTCACTAAAATCCCAAGTCACCAAATTCCTACAGTTCTAAATAAAATAGAATGAACATTCTTTCTGAGATTGCAAGAGAGTATGAGAAATGCTACAACTTCTAGAAAAGCAGACTATTTTAGCTATCTAGCAGTACCATGAAGAAAAGAAAACCTTTCTTGTGCTAGATTTAGGATAGGAGGTAATGCTGTGCCTGAGACTGTGTAACTGTGGACTCTACTACACTTATTTGGAATCACCCTCTATACTATATTTATATTCTGGGAACACCCACGCTATGAAATTAACTTGACAACTTGAATTGGGCTAAAATATGTACGGACACACAGCAAAAGCAAACAAAAGTCTATTCCAGGGAACATATCCAAAACCCATGCCCTATAAAGTATTCCCATAAGCCTGTGTCAAAGATAAACTCAAAATATGAAATTTAAAATACAATCTATCATGAGACAGCAGATGCAATGGCAGGATAAGATGCCAAGAATTTATGAGACCATAAAATATGTTTAAAATGATTAAGGATGTAAAAGGAGGAATTTTTTAAAAGATTTTAAGAAAAAAAAGACTTTGAAAAAGAACCAAATACCACTTCTAAAAAATCACAACTACAGTGAAAAATTAAAAGCTCTATGGACAGCTTCAATCACCTGATTAGATTTGTTTTAAGTGAGGATTAGTAAGCTGGGAGAAAAATAGGAGAAAATTACCCAGAATGAGAGATAAAAAGTTAAGAGTATGGGAAATATGAAAAGGAAGTTAAGCACCTTGGATGACAGATAAGAGAGTCCAATAAACACATTTCCAAGAGAGAGAAATGAGAAGGCAATATTCAAGTGAATAATGGATGAAAGTTATCTAGAATTGGACTAAACGGTGAATCCTTAGTTTCAGGAAGATAAATGAGCCTGTGAAAAGTAAGTGCAAGGAGATTGAAACAAGCTTTGAAAAAAAAGAACAAAAATTGAGACAAACAGACACAAAATGGAAGGGATGGTACCAGGAGTGCTCTACTACCGACCTACATACCCACCGTGTTTGTTGTTGCTCTTGTTGTTTTTGTTTTGAGACAAGGTCTCTTCAAGTTGCCCATCTGGGTAACTTCTAATTCTCCTGCCTTGGCCTCTGTACCTGCTGGGATGGTGAGCATGCCTCACTTTGCCTGGCCAGAGGCGAAAGTACTCTTAAAAGTAACCAGAAAAAAAGTCATACATGGTGCAGAAAATGATGTCAGTCACCTGACTTCTCACTGTAACAACTAAAGACAGAAGAAAGTGGAATAATGTATTGAAATACAGTAGCTGTTAATCAAAAAAAATTTAAACCTATTAATCTATTTTCTAAAACTCACGGCAAAATACATGTACTACCACTTAAAGAGACGGAAGGAGCTTACCACTAAAGAACACTCACTGTTAGCTCTTTTCTCAGGATTAAGATTCAACAAAAGAAATTCAACTCAAGAAGGAAAAACTGAATGCAAGAGGCAAGAGTGCGCAATGAACTTACATACATGATATGACTCTAAAGAATTGGCCATAGAAACAAAAATAAGGGCTTACAAAAGCAAAATAGCTATATAATGCAAATGATACTTAACACATGCATTGGAATGACATCCTAAGTAGTGCATTTTTCCAGATGAAGGTGGGAAAACCAGTACATTTTAGAAGTATATTGTTATGAATATAAAGATTATCATTAAAAGTAGAGATATGAATATATGCATAAACACATAAAACCTCAAACCAGCAGAAGAAAATGGTATATTAAAATTCTATTGATTCTAGTTTTAGAAGGTGAAAATGCAGAAATGATGGCACAAATATAAAGCAAAACAAATATAAAGTACTAAATAAGATAATAGAAATAAACCTGAATTTGTCAATAAGCACAGTAAGTTCAAACCAATAAACACTTTGAAAGACAGTGTTCACCAGACTTGATTTTAAACTTCTACCTATATGCTGTCTACAAACAACACATTTAATACTAAAATCACATAAAGGCTGAAATTAAATGGATATTAATATAAAAGAAGAGAGAAAAACAAAGGGAAGGAAAAATACGACTGTAAAAAATCATCTTAGGGATAAAATAAAACTGGTAACTTTAATATACACTCACTCTACAAACATAAATGTTTATTTTAACTCAGCTTTCTCTATAAGTGATGAATCAAATGAGAAAACAATCAACATGTACAGAAAAGACTGAAAAAACAGAGTAGAATTTTGAGCCAACAGAAAAAAAGCTAAGAATTCAATTCAATAGGTTAGGGCAAGAAAAACAAATAATCCTGTAGAAAATGAAAGGAAGAAATAAAAGCCGAGGCAAAGTTTGATTAAAGACTACAGTTTTCTTCCTCATTTTGTACAGAAAGAAACACTATTTTCTCCCAAGAAAACCCTTATCACTTGGGTAATAAAAATCTAGGTTTCTTTCTTTCTTTTTTCTTTTTTTTTTTTTTTTAAGATCTAGGTTTCTGAAGAAGTGCTTATTTGACAACATTCCTCAAGAATCAAAGCAAATATCTATTTGTCTCAATTATGCAAACAAAAGTAGCAGGACCCCTGGGCAAGCCAGAAACTGGGGTAGATGGATAAACACATGGCAGCTCCTGTCCTCAACTATTCCCAGGCATGGAACTTAGGTCTTTTTCTCTTTAAAACATTCTTATTCCCTACTTTTATGTGTTCACATGTCAAGGGGATCCTTAGATAATCTGTCCCTCAGTTTATGGTGTAATCTCTGCTGCTGAAGCACATTTTTTGGGAATGAGAAAATAGGAAGAAAAATTACTGTGGACAATTCCCCCAAATCTACATCAAGGGTAATTGTATACTTGCTTTATAGAAGTAATCCAACTCTGAGTACAAAGTGGAAGGATCAAAGACAAAAGGCAAAGGGGCATTTAGAAGAGACGGAGCCACCGAGACCTGTGCTGACGTGTGCCTATTGGCCAGTCTGTAGAGGAATTCATCACCTACCAGAGATTAAAATGCCTTTAAAAATATAGCTGAGTGCCTAAAATCTGAAGTCAATTTCACATTTACTGTAATTAATCAAAGAAGGCATCATTTGGGAAAATTACATGTATAATAAAATTCGACTGCTTGGCTGTACTAGTCTCTCAGGTCCTGGGCAAACTTTAGTTCTCTGGCAAGCTCTGCAAAGTCTCTTTATTTTACTATTCTAGTACAGTATTTCCTTCTAATCCTTTCTCAAATATATTAACAGTCAAAGAAAACAAATTAATAGGAATAGGCTTTCCATGGGACTCTTAAGCCAGGGGAGGGAAAAGTAAAACAAGTGATTGCTTCTCTTCCTTTCTAGAAGGTCTGAAGGCCAACCATAAGTACAATAATCATCACCTGCAACAAAACTTCTGCTACTTTTGCTGCAGAATGTGGGAGTCACAATCATAGTATTAAGACAAGAGCCTATTTAGTGGGTCACAGACTTTCAATAGAAAGTTACATGATCAATGTTGATGATAATTTCTCTTAACAGTATTTCCATTCACTAACAGAGCATTTCCTCCCACCACTTTATATTTAGTAAGTCCCAGATACTCCCAGAAATGATGTAATATCCTACCCTGCACTTTGCTAGAATTAGAACAATACGACTAAGCAATCTAAAGCAGGTTTTAAGACTTCTAAAAATTGTGTAATTTTCAGGTTTTTGGCATGAAATGTATTGATTGATACAATGGCTAACATTTACCTTCCCACATGAGTTGAGATTCTCTCCCTTGACTCCACTGATCTACCAGGATGATGGCCTTGGACTGTTTAATTCAGTTAATCAAATTTATTTCACATGTGCATCAAGCCTCTACTACATAACTGACTCCAAAGGATAAAAAGCATGAAGACATGATTTCTGATGTCTAAAGAGCTTATAACTCAGTACAGGAAATGAGACACATAGATTATATATCTAAATGTTCAACGAAATATGAGGGGTACAGCAAAAAATCCCCAAAACTCGACTGTATGGAAAAACAGGCAGTTACACACTGATAGTCTCAGCATAGCACACGGTTCCTACAAATCTGATATGTGAGCTAGACCTGGAATTAACCTCTCTATTTCACAACTCAACTAGTCATTTAAGACCCATCCCAAATTACAGACTGAGTCCTAATGAATTACAGGACAGAGCCTACCATCAAGTG